TTCATTTAGGTTAGCTGGAAAAAAACGATTTTTTTTATATGTTAGTAACAGGTATTTTCTTGGCCTAATAGCCGACTGCTGGTGCCATCTACTGGCTGGTAGAAAAACTACACGACTACTGGCTGAATTAGGTGATGAATGAAGTATTTCTGGATTTAATATGAGAATTAGGGGCCCTCATACACAAATCGTATAATTTTTCTGTCGTTTGGGAGACATGTTAGAAGAAATCGATCAGATCCATTAGATCCATCACTACAAATTGATCGAATTTGTGCCATAGGTGCGTCCCAAATTAGTGGCAGCGAGCGTTAGTGTACGCTGCACAGAAAGCGGTTTCTGCTATTCAAGGGAGGGTCATCTACCCAACTACTTTTATAATATAAACCAAGGACGATCGACGCATGGAGTGTGCGTATTCATCTAATTTACACGAAAATGTAAATGCAAAACAACTTTGCACAAAAACAAATGGCGCATATGCAAGGAATGCAAAAGATATTAGAGATACTTTTTTAGCATACTTCAGTAGTCCTTTGGGGTAAATTCCCTGGCAGTGGAGTGTTATTTTAAATTATAATTTTAAATACTTTTCAATTTGAATGTATCAGAATCTAATTCTATGCCAGAAAAGCCAGTTATTTGATAAAGAGGTGAACAACAATAGGAGGTAGTTAAATTTTTATTCGATAGATTGATTTGTTAAATAATAATAATAATTATTATTATTATAAATTATTGTTACAAATCTTGCCACATAACAACTGCTTAATTTCTGTGAAAATACCGTTTTCTTGATTTTGTACTTCTGTCGATGGTTCTGCGGCTAGCTCCTTCCAAAAAGCTGCTATTTTGTTCCGGTCCTTGTGAAATTCATTTTTTTTTATTCCAAATAGGTGCCATTTTGTATCTAGATACAACTGAGTTTTCTATTATCATGTTGAGGAAACCGTTGCGTCGAAAATGTGTTGATCAAAGGGTGATAAAAAACATTTTTTGCGATTTATGCTGGTCTAGCGGGACTAGCGCGACACGCTGAAATCATGCGGCGTCTTGTAAATTCATTGACTTGTTCTAACCCGCTTGAAACGCTTGAATCGCGATCTCAGCAGAATCGCAGAAATCGGTTTCTGTGCGGCCGTACCCTTAGTCTCACGATGCACCCAAAAGAGATATCGAAATGGCAGAGATCTGTTATTCCTGAATGACCTGTAGAGATGCGTTAAAAGCAATTTATAATGAGGCGGATACTGATATATGAGAGTATCCAGAGTGTGAGATGTTAGAGAAACAAATTATTTAGTTATAATTATATTAGCTAACCTGTGTTCATCTAAACAATGTTTTTGCTCCATCGCGCCACACATTACTTTCATACAATCCTACCGCGACAGACTGCATCTCCATCCAATCTGGTTAATTTTCCATCTTTCAGGTTTTTATGATTGAGCGACGTATCATCTATTGAAGCTAGCTTATTGAAGCTCAGGCCTAAATGGAGATCAAGAGGATTAGTGCCTACTGAAAAGTGGATAGTGTGTGGCGGCAAGGTAGCTGGCCTTAGCATGCGCTAGAATTATTTTATTGCCGCACAATAAAATGCCGTGAATAAAATTCTTATGGAATTCAATATGTGCCTGGCCATGGAAAACTACCAAACCTTTACTATAAACCTTCATCTCGTGTAGTCTGCTTCTAGTAAAATGCGTCTACACCAGAAGAGTTAATTTCAGCCATCACTGAGCTTAGGGTGTCCAAATAAAATAGGCATAAGACAGTCGCCAAAACTTCACGAATATTATGTGTCTTGAAAAGTCGTTTTTTTGACATTAGATTGTTTTATTTTACTTAACGTACGTTTTTCTACGTACTATGTTAACTTAGCACTAGCTGATGAACATTTGTTGTAAACTCGTTTTGTAGTCGTACGTGTTGATGTGATGTAACATCTGCTTCAGGGATGCCATTATAATGTGTAAGTTGTAAGCTGTATACTATAGACACACAGATAGTAAATCCCTGGTTGGTGAAGTAACAGGTGCTACAAACAGGAATATTTATGAAAGTGACGGGGTTATTACATTATTATTAATTTGAAGTCATCTAAATTTTATAACAATTTATTTTGCAATGTCAATAGAACATACAAACTGAAGTGTGAATCGTCATTCCGAATTTGTCTGTGATGTGGCTTAATTGCACTCGACGCGGGCGCGGTGGCCATTTTCCGTAATGCTCGTGTAAGTTTTTGAAGACACAAAGACACGGGAAAAATCGTAATTTTTAACTTTGAACATAACCTGGACAAGATATAAATAACCCGTCGGGTACAGCTAATACACATACTTCATTGACAGCAAATTCAGTAATAATTTTCGCACGTAGCAAATATCACTGATCTTATACACATGCAGACCAATACACATAATCATCCAGATGCGATCTTGCTACTCAACCCACTTTCTTTCCTACACATCGTCTCAGGTAAACACTGCAGACTACTCGATTTCACAAAACATATACTTGCTTTCTGCAACCAACAAAGCGTGTAGTTGAGTCATTTCTCCATATACGGATGCTCACAGCGTTCATAGCGAGCAAACGTGGAATACGCTATTTGCACCCTAAGAACTACCTACTCTGCAAGATGACACTTTGTTTTCTTTTTTGACGTTTTCAAGGTGTTTTACATAATAGGCGTGCGGGATTGAAGTTTCCAGCGCCATCTATGAGAAACAAGCAGAAGGAGACACTATCTCTTTCCGAAGAATATTACGAAATTCATTTTTGTGTTCTGCAAGTCTCTAATAGATAGCGCCAGTACCTTTCAGATCTTTTTTTGTACGCCGCACGGTAGACTGAAACACCGTAGACTTGCCTAAAATACAATTTCTACGGCATTGGTACGATACAATGGAGCTTTTTGAGTTGCCGATTTCAGGGGGTTAGTTTTTCCGGATGAGGAAATTTGGTGGTGACTTGAAGAACGTATTGACATTTTCAAAAGAAGCAGAGCAGTTGTGCCCAACCGCGTACCGTTTAGGTTTTTCTGATTACGAAGCCAGAATCACAACGAGGGCATCTTAAAGTCATATTAAGGTCACTGCAAGAACAAATTCAATACAGTCTAGGATTGGAGTTCAGACAGGTGTCATATAATCTTTTGTGATCGTTTAGTCCAAACCAGAGATCAGTTTGTTTCTAGGCAAGCACTTGAAGGGTAATTTAATGCCTCACGGAAGACAAATGCAGAAAACTGCTATGTATAATACTAATATGAACAAGTGAGGATAAACATAGCGAACAATTCAGTCGAAAATACGGTTAGATGTACTTGCATGTAGTAGTACGTATAGCTGGCAATTTAAGGAATTTACATTGTACAAGTTGTGACTGCTTATCGCATTTACTCTCAAGCTGATCAGTCGCAATGTATTGTTTGTATCTCAGCAATAGACTGCTGTGCGATATAGATATACAATAAATAAAATGGAAAAAGGTTTCTGTGTACCGGTTCCACTAATCTTCCAAAGGTAGGCACAATAATAATACCATGCGAAGCATTTATGCCTTTGCACGCATTAACATTTATGATTAAACCCACACGCGTTCGCCGCCACAGTGGTTCAAGTGCTAAAATATGGCCGAGATCACCGAATTTAAAAAAAATCGTTTATACATTTCCCAGGTCGCTGATAGTGATATCAACATGGCGGATCTAATATGGTGTACATCTTTGCAAAAATCTATTGACTCATCTCATATTTGAGTTTTAGATGTTTTCATGGTCGCCAATAACGAATCTGACTATTCTAATATCAAAACGACGCTTTTGCTAGTGCGGCTATGTTTACAAAAGTGTTTTGTGGTCCACAAAATTAAGTTTCGACTGTCTTAAAGACCGCTAATAATGAATTAAATATCAGTTATTAAAAAATCTAAATGGTGTCTCTAGTATGACGGCTATTTTTGTGAAAAAATCGTAGATTGTTTTCAAAAAAACAGTTTTATATATTTTCAAGGTGTAATTTATAAATTATTGTATAACGTCGGATTATTGCAAAGGTTGCAGTTAGCTGTAGTCAAAATTCACTTTAACTGAGTGTCTGATAAACATTTTATTATTCGGAATAGAGCGGACTCTAATGAGCTTTCAACATTTTGTTGTCGTATATCGTCATGTGTCGTTTGGCAAGTAATACAATGCCGCATATTCACAATATCTCGAAATAAAAGCAATAATTAAATTTCCGTTCCCGTTTACACCAACTACGTTATTTATCCATCATAATAGGCACATAACATATACTCATATCTATTGTGATCCTTTTCACAGTATTAACTAAATACTAGCATCAAAATAATAATAATAATAATAATAACGTCTTTATTGGATAACCCGGAGGGACATAAACAGCGAAGTTTAGCCAAGGCTACTCTTACACTTAACTGTTTATGTCGGTTACATCTGATGTTCAAAACATGAAAAAAAAATATATATATAAGAACAATGAAAAAAAGAACACATATATACCTAAGTATAAAATACAAATAGACACAATCTATATCTGTAGCAGAAATGCGTATTTAATCAATAGCGAGCAACATGCTTTTAGTATGTTTACGAAAACTTTCCAAGGACATCAATTTAATACTGTTGTCCAACTGATTATAAAGTAGTGCTGCATTATATGAAGGGTACAGGTCCAAAAGGGGGCAAGTCGTAATTTTATACAAATAGATCTAGTGGTGCCATCTTGTAGCAATTTTAACGAAGAAGTGGTCAGCGACTTGAACATGTCCTAAAAGCGCTTAGTGCCTGTGAAATTCTAATTCTTATTTACGCATACACCGCCAAGTCCGCACCAGTCAGGTCCTAAAAGGGTAAAGTCCATATAAACAGCTGATAGATGTCGATATAATACGCGCAGATTAGAGTTAGATTAGTCGGAGTAGCTAGTGTTTTCAATGTTTTTCAAGTAATTTAAAAGTAAATAACAATGAATACTGAGAACAATAGTAGCGGAAATGAGAGTGAAGTAGTATCTAGACAGAATGAATCAAAAAAGAGGAAAAAGTACGGCAGAATGAGAGATGTCATGAAAAAGATTAGACTGCTGAGCCACGAGGTAGGTGCAAACTGTAACTGTCGTAAACAATGTTTTCAAAATGTACCTGAAGAAGCAAGAAAAACCATTCTCAAGAATTTTAACGCTATGACTTCTATTAATGAGCAGAACTCCTACTTATGTGGATTGATTACGGTACTCCTCATTCGCCGAAGAAGGCCTAGGAAAGATGAAGACGTAGCAAATTTGAGAAGGCAGGAAAAGCCATTACAGTGTGAAGGATAGTAGAAAATTATACTTACCTGAAGACTTAAACATAAAAAAGATGTTCAAAATGTTTTGCGAGTTGAACCCTTCTATGAAAGTATCTTACGAGTCGTACAGAACAGTCTTTAATACAAAATTCAACATAGCCTTTGGATATCCCAGGACCGATACATGTAGTTCTTGCGATGAGTTTCTTATAAAAATAAAATCTCTTCAGTCTGATGTTTTAAAGAGTATGGATATTGCTCAAAAAGAACGCTTTCAAAAGGAAATACGCCATATTACAATACAAAATGATGTACACAAAAGAAAGGCTGAGGTATTTTACAGTAGAAAAAGGGCTGCGAAGAAACGAAGTCGAACCTCTGTGACTCACGAAGCTATTTGTCTCGATTTTGGACAAAATCTCAGTGTCCCAAACATAACAACAAACGATGTTTACTATAAGAGCCAGCTGAACGTCTATGCCTTTAATATCCACATTCTATCTACAGCAAAAAGTGTGTTTTACATTTACCCGGAAACACTTGGCAAAAAGGGAAGCGACGATGTATGCTCAATGCTGAATGACTTTTTATGGAATTTTCTCGATTTACAAGTAAGATCGCTTGAAATATTCTGCGACTCGTGTGGAGGGCAAAATAAAAATTACACGATGTTTCGTTTTTTGCATTATATTGTCCACAATACACATAGACTTGATTATGTTAAATTTACTTTTCCTATTCGTGGGCATTCCTACATGGAACCGGACAAAAATATGGGCTTAATAAACTCCCACCAAAGAGCCGAGATTCCTTCAGATTGGGTAGAAATTTTTAGAAGTGCTCGTGCAAAACCATCACCATTTGACGTTGTGGAAATAGATCAATCCTACTTTCGAGCATGGACAATTTTTTTTAATACCACAACGGGTTATTTGAAGAAATGTCCTTTCCGTTCCCGTCCTATTCGAGAATTAGAAATACATCAAGAACATCAAAGACTAATATATTACCGGGAGTTCTATAATGGAGCATGGGAGTCAGCAATAGTGAAGGGAAAAGAGACTAAGCGAAAGGGACCTGTGCTATTGCAAAATGAATTTGTACTTCCTCCGTATTCTTATTCAGGTATAAAAAATACTTATGTCTTGAAATACTATTTTTTTTAAACAACAAAATTATTTTTAGGTTTGATACCCATCACGGCTAAAAAATTTAAACACCTACAAGATTTAAAACGATTCTGTGGTGACGAAGCAAAACAATTTTCGATAACCTGCCCAAGAACTAGAAGTATATTTTATATTAATAACTATTGTCTACTTTTCGGTATACCTTGTTTTTTTTTGACTTGGCCCCTTTAGGCCAACAATGTTTGATGGTTTGACCAATTAATGCTTATGTTCTACTTTGTATAAATGACAATATAAGTTTAATTTCTTGTGTGTGTCTCAATAATTACCCAAATAACTAATCTAATTAACAGAATTCATAATAACCATCAAGAATTTATCAATTACTAGTTTTAAAAGTTAAACTCTGTTTTGTACGAAATAAACATTTGGCGACTTAGCTCCTTATGGACCTGTACCCTTCATATGTAAATCCTCGTTGGAATAATGCAGAAGTGTGTGGGGTGGTTCTGATACTATAACGATTCCTAACAGCCCTGTCATGCACTTCGTAATTAAATCTTAACTTAGCTCTTAGATATTCAGGCTTTGATGATAATATTATTTTATGAACTAAAACTAAGAATTTATGTTTAACCAAACTTCCTAACCTAAGCCAGTTCAATTCCCTATATTTATCACTTACGTGATCGTATTTACGCAACCCATAAATAAAGCGAACACAGTTATTTTGGATGATTTGAAGACGATTTTTGGTCAATTGATCCAAACATGGATAATAAACGACATCACAGTAACTGAGCATTGACGTCACCAAAGATTCGCACAGTTTTTTTCTCAGCTTAAAGTTAAGCAAGTAGCGATTGGAATAAAGAGCCCTAGAACACAGGTAAGTTTTTTTCATCAAATTAGCTATTTTGCTGCGGAATCTTAATTTTGTGTCAATTTCCACTCCTAGTACCTTAGCCGTTTGAGTATGCTGTAATGTTATGCCATCAATAGTCAGATGGAAAGAATCTTCGACAGTTTTCCTCTTCTGATCAGAACAAAACAATAACACTTGTGTCTTATCTGGATTAATAGTAAGATTATGTTCCATAGAAAACTGATGTACCTTCTCTAAATCAAGCTGTAAAATGTGTGATGGATTTTGCGTATCTGAGGCATCGAAATGGAATATGATTTGAGTATCGTCAGCAAATGTTTGTATCCCTGAATTGTCAACTGCTTTATGCAGGTCACACGTGTAAATCAAAAAGAGCACAGGTCCCAAAATTGAGCCTTGCGGAACTCCTGACGGAACAGTCGTAATATTGGATTGATCGTTATTGATTGCGACACATTGCGTGCGACCGGACAAATAGCTACGAAAAAAACTGACAGCAGCATCATCGAAGCCTATATACCTCAGCTTGGCGCACAAAAGTTTATGATTTATTCGATCGAATGCTTTGGAATAGTCAATTGATACCACTGCTGTTGCTAACTTTTTGTCAACTGCCCTAATAACATTATCACAAAGATCTAACAGTGCCGAGGTGGTACTATGGTGCTTCCTGAAGCCCGATTGACATGACGATATTATTTTTAGTTCCTCTATGAAATGGACAACTTGTTGCTGTATAATTTTTTCCAAAATTTTCGATAGCACCGGCAATAAACTAATGGGTCTAAGATGTTTAAGTTCAGTAGGTTTAGATATTTTAGGGACAGGTATAATTAGAGCCAGCTTCCACAGCTTAGGGTGGTAGCCATTTTCCAAACATGAGATTACAACAGTACAATGATATTTCCAAAAGAGGCAATTTCATCGTACTATTTATTCATTACACTGCACCTTTTCTTTCTCATTCATCTATGTTTTGACACAGGCGAAAATGTTTTCCTGGATATAATATGCCTGTATTTATACATCTAGGTATAAAACAGTATTTGTAGCTTAAACACCTATTTTTTACCCATTTTTACTGTAAACCGTGGCGGGCGCGTCGCTTTGCGGTGGCGATGGTAGTTGGTGTAATGTAATTATTCAAATAAGAAATGTCTGGGTGGCGTAACTTTGTCATTTTTTGAGTTATTCAAACATATTTTTAGTGCTATACTTGATTTTGCTTAGACTATCATCTTAAGTGTGTTTCAAAGAATAGGAAACTCCCCCATTTACGATCTACATGAAAACATCATAAATGACCAATTTATATTACACCTAGTGATAGTTCGTATTTCCTTCATCAAGGTCCTTATTCAAGCATTCCAGTAGTCCAAGCAAATGTATGATTGGATATCCAACTTATTGGCTAAGGTATTAACTTTGAAATAGGTAATAATTTTCATACATTTTTGATAGCCTGTTCTTCAATGTTTGCCAGGTTTTTGCGTGAATATACCACTGTGCGCCGGGATACAGTACATAGTTGGCTATCTCCGGGTAGAATATGTTAATCGATCCCGAGAAAAGCGAGCTCAGAGAGTAACTGAATTTTCTTCTAATTTGAATACGACTGAAGAATCAAGTTCACAAAACATTGTTCCGATTCACTTTTGAGACTAAGTATAAATAAACTTTTTAATGAAAATATGAGTCTAAAAACCAATACTCCTTCGCGTTGTATCACTTATTTTGTTGATATTGATGTGGAAGTAACCCTACAAGAGTTTATTTTTATGTGATTATAACACCAAAGCCGAATTTGACTATAAAGTACCGGTGATTTTAGCTAGTCCTGAAGCTAACGGTTGTTTGTAAGAGTACCGGTTCTTAGTTCACCAATAATATATTGTAGTACAAAGAAAATTACAATAAACGTGAGATTAGTACAAATGAACGTTAAATTTCTAAGAGGATGTCATTCCAGAAGATTTTACATTCACTTGCACTAACCTTACTCTTCCTAGAAGTCTCGTTATATGATAATGCGTTATTATACTGTTTTACTAATCATAATACTAAATCTGTGAATAACCTGATAAATATTCGCTATATTTCCAAATAGAAAAAACTCTACTGTCAACCCAAGGCATAAATATTTATCATCTATTGTCGCATCTTCATATGCATTTCTATGTTTTCTGAACAAGCATAACGGAAGCCTGACCCAGGAAAAGTACTTTTGCCAAGGTACTGAGATATCGTTAATTGAGGCAGCATCTCTAGTAGTGCACATCATTAATTTCAATTCGTTTGCCAAAATTACCCATCATTTTCGGCTTTGTCTTTTAAATATCTCACCATCTTTTCCCGCCTTGGCATAATCCAACACGACCGCAGCCAGCAGAGCCATCCGCATGAACATAGTCACTGTAGACATAGTAAAAACCACTATAGATCCACTACCACCACACTAAACATAACCCCGAAAAAGTTTCAGTTTCACTACAAACCACTACTACTCAATTTCCGAAAAAAAAACCTGCACGGTTTTCGACCGCTAGGCTCGCGGCTCGCGCTATGCGACGAATTATCGATCCGCAATCCGAACTCCTTCGATGGAGTTGCTTCCGTGGCAAAATCCCTACTGACGAGGAGTTCCTGCAACTGCCGAGCGCGGACTCCGAAGCGCATGTCTGGGCCCTTATACCTGTGGAGGGTCACTTATCATTTAGGCTGCTTCTCTAAACATTTGTTATGGTCCATACATTCATAACGTGTCTTTCAGGAAATATCTCCGCCACTTTCACCGTCAATAGTAGCGGTAGTAGTAGTGGGAAAGCGCAGCCAGGCAACTACGATACTTCTGGCACATTTTACCGACCCCTAATGTACCAATACACTAATCCATATGATCATGCAGTAACCTGTCGAGCCTTCCTGATCTCCTAATGAAGGTCAGGACGTCGCAGAGTATGCAGCTTCGATATCAAACCCCATCTCTCTGAATATCTCAGATATTAGACGGCAGTA